GCGTGGTAGTAAAAAATGAAACCAGGATAAGACGCATCAGTTGAGTTCTTTATCTTTAAATTCCCCCAAAAACTCATGGGCTTATGTTGGAAGTTTTAGTTTGGAAAAAAAAACGAGCAGGGCAAAACTTTTGGGTTGCTTTAGACAGCTTATGTTGCCACAAACTGGTATGCTTCTCGTCTTATTTGGTACCGTTCGTTTTCAAAATGATCTAATTCTGGAAAATAAACAAAGTGTTGATAGAGCACGCTAGAAAACACCATTTCCAGAAACATGGGAAATAAAGTTTTTGTTCTAAATGATTTGGACAGGATTGACAATAAGGTTGCCGTCTTCAGGAAAGTCTTAGATACTCATCGCTTACCATGTTACGATTCGTTGCCACTCAGCATCCGAGCAGACTGCCTGCTCGGACACCTTACCGCCTTCGGATACCTATTCCGTAGTGACAGTTAAACGTGCGGATATCACTGTGCATTGTTGACGTCTTTAGAGATAAGAGTTTAAATCTTTATAGCTCTGACTGCTTTCATCGCCCCTTTACCAACGTTGAGAATTTGGTGGAATGCAACCCTAAATCGAGGGCCATGGTGAATCGAGGGAAAGCAACAAGACAACTGTTTACAGCTCAGGGAGACGACACTCACTGGTATAGTTCAGTTCGCAGAAACTCTGATCCGATTAGTTTAAATCGCAGAAACAACAGTCGCTGCTATAGTTAAGAGCTCGGCGTGACGAAATTCAAGAGTGTAGTTTTGGGCTAAGAGTGGCGACGGTCAGTGGCGGGTGGCGAGTCAGCGGAGTCGGCATCATCTGAGGTGTACACTGTGCGACCGTCAGTGCTATGTTTTGGGCTCAGAGTGGCGACGGTCAGTGGCGGGTGGCGAGTCAGCGGAGTCGGCATCATCTGAGGTGTACACTGTGCGACCGTCAGTGCTATGTTTTGGGCTCAGAGTGGGCGACGGTGTGGCGAGTCAGCGGAGTCGGCATCATCTGAGGTGTACACTGTGCGACCGTCAGTGCTATGTTTTGGGCTAAGAGTGGCGACGGTCAGTGGCGGGTGGCGAGTCAGCGGAGTCGGCATCATCTGAGGTGTACACTGTGCGACCGTCAGTGCTATGTTTTGGGCTCAGAGTGGCGACGGTCAGTGGCGGGTGGCGAGTCAGCGGAGTCGGCATCATCTGAGGTGTACACTGTGCGACCGTCAGTGCTATGTTTTGGGCTAAGAGTGGCGACGGTCAGTGGCGGGTGGCGAGTCAGCGGAGTCGGCATCATCTGAGGTATACACTGTGCGACCGTCAGTGCCATGTTTGGAGCTCAGAGTGATGACAGTCGGAGGCATAGCTTACAGCGCAAAGTCGCGAAAGTCAGCGGTGTAGTTGAGGGCTCAGGGTGACGACAGCCAGCCAAGGTTATAGTTTAGAGCTCACGGTGACGACAGTCAGAGGAATACTTGAGAGCTCATAGGGACGTGTCAGGTCACGACAGTCAGCGGTATGGTGAAGAAAGCGGTATAGTGAAGAGCTCAGAGTGAAGAAAGTTAAGGGTATAGTTAGGGCTCAAAGTGGCGACGGTGAGTGGCGAGTGGCGAGTCAGAGGAGTCGGTGCCACCTGAGTTTTTAACTATACGGCAGTCGGAGGTGAATTCGTGAATTCGTCGGAATTCGTGACGTGAATGGGTGGAGCTGTCAGAGGAGCTGAAGGATTCATGAAGGTAAACAAACTCAAGTAAAGTCGAAAATGTTCCAGCTCACCCACTCCATAGACCACAGGGGCTCTATGTGGGTCGCTTAACGATCCGTCCAGTTGTTTGTGCCGCCGGTCAATCCGAGGTAGGGCCGCACGGTTGCCAGTAGCGCAGAGCTCGGTCGATGGCAGGCAAGCACCGTCCGAGGGCTCAGGGGCCCGCTCCGTCCAACGCCACCGGACCGCGCTCCGTCACCAGCCAGGTCACAGCACGTGTGGTGCCGCGCTAATCTGAGGAATCGGAGAATGAACTGGGTGATGCCAGGGGCAGCCACACGCACCCCCCCCCCTTCCCCCCTTCTTTAATGCATTAGGGTTAGGCGCACCTAGCACAGTACGCGCAGGCATCTTAGTAGATGTGGTATCGCGGCAGACGGACGAGCCGGGCGATGCCTTCCCCTCGCCTTCCGGTTCAACCTGGCCAACCTGAGACGAGGAGGGGGCGTGAGAGAGGATCATATGCTCACCAGCGCCCGCTTAGGGCGCCGCAGTCCCCTGACGTCAGCCGGTCAGTGCCTGCCCAGCGCCCCAGCTCACCAACACCAGCGCCTCGGGCCGTGGCCGTCGTCACGTGAGCTCGCCAGAGCCTGCAGCGGGTCTGCACTGAGCTCCGAAGCAGCGCACGGCCGCACAAGCAGCCCCGCTGGGCGCAGTGAGCGTGACCTGATCTGCAAGGCGGGTTGACCTCGATCGGGTCATCCGGGTCGTGCTAGGGAGGGTGGCGGGGGTAGGCATAGCGCCTCTCGTCCCCCATTGGGAACGCTCTGCTAAGAACACGATCGAACTGTGCAGCCAGGGAGTCGTTTCCCGGCGCTGCCACCAGGTGCACGGCTTTAGCGACGAACGTCGAGGTGGCGCCACCGTACACGGACAGCGCAGAGCTGCCGTTCAACTGGGGCAACGCAACACCACGTGGGCGGACCAACCAGCGCCCCAACCATGGGTACGCCGGACCGCAATAATACGCGGCCGGCGTCAAGCCGTCGGAGAGTCGGCGCTCTCCGCCCCTGAGTACACACAACAGGGGAGGACGCCTGGCCGCGTGCTTCACCACTTGAATCAAAATAATGCGCAACGTTATGATGCTTCGGTATGCTGGTTTGCAGCCCTCGGCTATCATGTCCATTGTGCGCCTGTGACAAGCTCGATTTATGGACAGACTATTCGTCTGTCGCGAAGGAGAATGCTCTAACAGAATGCGTCGAGCGTTCCATTCCCAACTTTGTGCCCGACATTAAAAACATATCACAAGAACATAGTTTGGTGAAAACTCAGGGCCAGTTACGTCCAATGACAGCATTGGGTAGTGCCAATGCAGCAGCATCAAGTTACAATAAGCAAAATGATTTTAATCTTTTCGAGTCCAAATCACTCTGTCAGCATTTTGGCACAGCTTTACACAACTTTCTTTTTGGTAGCCCCAGAGTGTAGCCTTAGTCCACGACTACTACAATGGACACGATTGGCGTCGTCATGGCGACGGCGGAATCTTCCGAGGGTCATCGTCAGTTGAGTAGAGGACCCACTTCTGAGCTGTTTTAACCCGCACATTGCAGGCCTGCTAGCTTGAAAATGATACTGCCACTGATATGAATGACGTCAGTATAAATGAACGTTTTAGACTAGTACAGCGGGCGGCGAAGCCATCTTACCGAGAAGCGCATTAATTGTAGTTGAAACCAGTGCTCCGCTATAGACCATGTGGTACTTTGTTCCTCAAAGCCCAAACGCACTTCGAAAAGAGTCACCGTGCTCAACCCCATAGATAAGAAATCAGTCATAGTCCGACCTTTCGTTGAATTCGCGCGACTGCGTGGCATTTTCACGCAAGTCTTGTGCTGCATCTCTATGGAGATACTTAAGCTAGGCAATGCTTCTTGCCTGGTGATTACTCTAGGAGCCTGTCACATTGCCTGGTTGATACTGTGGCCATAACAGATTAAGAGGGGTATGAGTCACGTGACTATTAGTCGTGATCCAAGGCTGAATATGTGTGGCGCCAGGAGGAGGGGATGCCACAAATTTCTTGCAAGGGACGACCAAATCCGGGGCCACTAGACAGATCCGGCAACCTATCGGAACCCTACCTAAGAATTTTCCACGGACTTAATCCACTTTCTTTAAAAAACCTTGTCGTTGGTATATGCAATTGACAAAAACGTCTTAGTCTGTTGGGCCCCCGGTGTTTTTAATCGGGGTCATTTCTAAGTCCGTTGGGATTCGCTGTTTTCGTGGGAAAAAGGCATTTTGTTTGGAGCATCTAAGGCTCCGTACCTATAACCTACCAACAGGGCCTAGTGTCAGCCATGCGGAGCCACCTGGAGCCAGATATTGTCTTCTTTGCGCCTTAAGGATTCTCCTTTGGGTTTGATGGAATGTTCTGTCTTGGTCATCCGGAACCGCCTGTCAGCATGATGAGGTCTCCCATAGTTCCAGGGGGGGGGGGGGGGGGGGTGGGAGCTGGGCAACAAAATGTATTTGATTCCGACGGTATATTACAGAGGGGGGGGGCTCTCTTCTTGCCCCCTGATGGCGACTCCCTGGCATAACGTAAACCATGATGCAATAATTTAATTGTCAAAATGCGAGCTGGAAGCCGATGCCCCTACTTCCCTCAGTGGCATTTACTGGCCCGTTGTGGTGGACTAAGCAATAATGCATGAACAAACAAACAAAAACAAATGCAGAGTGTGACGCATCGCTTAATGTCAGGGTCATGCAGAACAGTGCTCAAAATGACCTTCATTTCAGTTACGAGAACCGTCACTGATTATGCCACCAAACACCATGCAGGAGCCTGTGAGAGCCTGGTCCGTTGCGATACAGCCGGGCGTTTCAAAGAAAAAGCGTGGCCAATGCGTTAGCAATCTTGTCTACAGCACTCTGTGGACTCAAGTCACACAGCCAGAGTCCGCCAGCACAGCTGCAATCCGCTTTAACAAATTTGTGACACATATTTTTCCGTCATCCTGGGACTTCTTGGGCAGCCGACGTTTTGTGTTACGCTCTGCGCACGGACCCCTTACACTGGTGGACCCTGTACCCGCCCCCTCCCCACTCCGCCCACTGGCCTCCCAGCGCGCACGTGACATCACTCCCATCTCTGCCGAAGAAACAATGGCCCGGGCGTGTCCAGGGCGCGGCCGCGGGCGTAAGGCGACCCCGTATCAGCGGGGCCGTAAGGCGGCAGCCGGAGGAGTCGGCGGCGGTATATACGGCCCGGGGGCGGCGGCCGCGCCCCTCAGACGCACGCCGCGAGGCCTACGGAGGAGCGCCGACGAGCGAGAACGCTGCGAGGGGAGCTGCGGCCGGCTCCGGACCGTGGCTAGGCCGCCGACCGAAGCGAGCTGCGACCGGTTCCGAACCGACGCCAGGCCATCCGCCGAGGGGAGCTGCGACAGGCTCCGGACCGTGGCTAGGCCGCCGACCGAGGCGAGCTGCGACCGGCTCCGAACCGACGCCAGGCTATCCGCCGAGGGGAGCTGCGACAGGCTCCGAACCGACGTCAGGCCGCCGAACAAGGGAACAACTCTAGGGTGCATCGTTTCCCGTAGTCCGTCAGAAGAGCTGTCAACGCCTCATTGAGCTCGCCGGAGAAGCGTTGGGACGGCTGCCTCGTCCGGAGGAGTGGTGGCCACCTGTTCCACCAGAGGGGAGGGAGCTGCAGGACCGTAGCGGGACGGTGGAGCCGCCCCACTTGCCAAGAGCCGCAGCTGCAAACGGCGATTGGCTGATCAGTGCGGCTGGCTTGACGGCGGAGCGATGCGGCTGACTAGGCACACCGCTCTTTTTCTCGTGGCCACTGGGTGAGTTGCACGCCTAAGACCGTTTGCGTGTTGCAGGAAAGACAGCAATGGTCGCGTGAGATGCACTGCTGCTGGATAATCGAATTGCGAGGTACGCGGCTTTAGGACGCCAGCATGTGATTCATGACTATAATTAGCATAAGTCACTTGAAAGGGCACTGGTGTTTTCGCCGCAGCGTGCTTTAAGCGCGTTCATGGATGCATCGATATCAAAACATAGTGGGGCCATATAATGAACTGCCCGCGAGTCAACGATCGATAATGGCACATTTCGTGACGCGTCGGACAAACCCCAATGATCATTCGCTTTTGCCGACAATCATTTGAACCTACCAGGGTCGCGGCGGTGCTCGGCTCGGAGAGGGACACGGAGACACAACTGCAGGAGGCGTTCACTCGTCTCACCGACACCACTGTCTACGACCGCAATGTGCGGCCGTTCCCCGTTGAGGACCAGCCGGTGGACGTATACACGCGCATGTACGTCTACTTCCTCAGCAACATCGACGCGCAGTCCTCGGTGAGAGAACCTTGGTGGCGTGTCCAGTCCCGGGTGTCTTATGGGCTGTGTCCGGTCCTGACTTGGTGGCGTGTCCAGTCCTGGGTGTCTTATGGGCTGTGTCCGGTCCTGACTTGGTGGCGTGTCCAGTCCCGGGTGTCTTATTGGCTGTGTCCGGTCCTGACTTGGTGGCGTGTCCAGTCCCGGGTGTCTTATTGGCTGTGTCCGGTCCTGACTTGGTGGCGTGTCCAGTCCCGGGGGTCTTATTGGCTGTGTCCGGTCCTGACTTGGTGGCGTGTCCAGTCCCGGGTGTCTTATTCTGGGCTGCGTCCGGTCCTGAGTGTTAATTGCGCTGTGCCCAGCCTTGAGTGTCTTACTCTGTGTTGTGCCCAGGCTTGAGTGTCTTACTCTGTGTTGTGCCCAGGCTTGAGTGTCCTACTCTGTGTTGTACCCAGCCTGCAATGTCGTTTTCTGTGTAATGTCCAGTCCTGAATGTCTTATTCTACGTTGCGCCCAGGCCTGCTTGTTTTACCTCAGTCGGGTCCAGCCCTCCACTCCATGTGTAGTCCCCAGTGAGCGACACTTTGTTGTGTCAAGTTTTTTGCTGGCGATTCTGCCTGGTACCCAATCCCCTGTGGGGCATTTCTTGTCGTTCCCAGACCTTGATGGTTTGCTGTGAGTAGTGTCGCGAGGTGAACCAATCAGGGTCACAGGCGAGTTAGCCTGTGTCGCGACCTGAGTGATGTATCCCATGTTGTGCTCATCCCCGTGGTCTATCCTGTGCCGTGTTGAGGCCTCAGCTACCTAGCCTGTGTAGTGTCCGGTCTTCAGTGTGTGGTTGTGTCGCGTTCAGACTCCGGTGATGTCTTACGCTCCGTGTTGAGGCCTCAGCTATCTGACCTGTGTAGTGTCTGGTCTTCAGTGTGTGGTTGTGTCGCGTTCAGACTCCGGTGATGTCTTACGCTCCGTGTTGAGGCCTCAGCTATCTGACCTGTGTAGTGTCTGGTCTTCAGCGTGTGGTTGTGTCGCGTTCAACGCCGGTGATGTCTACGCTCCGTATTGAGGGCCTCAGCTATCTGACCTGTGTAGTGTCGGGTCTTCAGCGTGTGGTTGTGTCGCGTTCAGACTCCGGTGATGTCTTACGCTCCGTGTTGAGGCCTCGAGCTATCGACCTGTGTAGTGTCTGGTCTTCAGTGTGTGGTTGTGTCGCGTTCAGACTCCGGTGATGTCTTACGCTCCGTATTGAGGCCTCAGCTATCGACTGGTGTAGTGTCTGGTCTTCAGCGTGTGGTTGTGTCGCGTTCAGACTCCGGTGATGTCTTACGCTCCGTGTTGAGGCCTCAGCTATCTGACCTGTGTAGTGTCTGGTCTTCAGCGTGTGGTTGTGTCGCGTTCAGACTCCGGTGATGTCTTACGCTCCGTATTGAGGCCTCAGCTATCTGACCTGTGTAGTGTCTGGTCTCCAGCGTGTGGCTGTGTTGCGCTCAGACCCCGGTGGTGTCTTACGTTCCGTATTGAGGCCTCAGCTACCTGACCTGTATAGTGTCCGGTCTTCAGTGTGTGGCTGTGTTGCGTTCAGACTCCGGTGGTGTCTTACGTTCCGTATTGAGGCCTCAGCTATCTGACCTGTGTAGTGTCCGGTCTTCAGTGTGTGGCTGTGTCGCGTTCAGACTCCGGTGATGTCTTACGTTCCGTATTGAGGCCTCAGCTACCTGACCTGTATAGTGTCCGGTCTTCAGCGTGTGGCTGTGTTGCGCTCAGACCCCGGTGGCGTCTTGCGCTCCGTGTTGAGGCGTCGGCTCCCTGACCTGTGTCGTGTCAGGTCTTTAGTATGTGGCTGTGTCGCGTTCAGACCCCGGCGTCTTACGGTCCGTGTTCGGTATGCGTCGTTACTTCCCGTTCTCAGTGAGCTATTCTGTGCGCCGCCCGTTGAGTTGGCGTCGGTGACTCAGCCTGTGTCGTGTTGAGTCTTCCGTGATTTAGTATGCATCATGTTCAGTCGTCGGTGAGTCGTTATGTATCGTATTCAGTCGTCGGTGGGCCAGTCTGTGTCGTGTCCAGTTATTGGTGAGCCAGTCTCCGTCGTGCTCAGTCCTCGGTGAGTCAGTATGTATCATGTTCAATCCTCGGTGAGTCAGTCTTTGTCGTGTTCAGCTCTCGGTGAGCCAGTATGTATTATATGCTGTCCCCGGTGAGTCGGTCTGTACTATGTCCAGTCCTCAGCGTGTCAGTATGTGCCATGCCCAGTCCTCGCTGACTTAATCTGCGTCGTTTCCAATCTCGGTGAGTCAGTCTATGTCGTGTTCAGCTTTTGGTGAGTCAGTATGTGTCTTGTCCAGTCCTCGGTGAGTCAGTATGTATCATGCCCAGTTCTTGGTTATTCAGTCTGTATCGTAACCAATGCTCGATGAGTCGGTCTGCGCTGTGTTCAGTCCCCGATGTAGTGGGCTGGGTGTTCGGTTCAGATGCAACCATTTACTCAGGTTATGGAATTTGAGGGAGCAGATTTAGCCGCATGTTTAGATACGTATGTTCTACAAATAGCATATTGAAGCAACGAAGGTGATCGTCGTATACAAAACTTAGTTGCTTCCTGTATTTTCAAGTTTCCGGATAGCTTCTAATAAATTTTCGGTTTCCAGATATCTGGTGAATGTTGAATGAGTACGGCTATCGATATTACCACGCATCGTTCAATTCAATGACCACAACGCACCCCGTAAGGTACTGTTTATGCTCTGTTGTCGGCAGGAATTCTTTGTGCAGTTACTGGTGCGTCAGAGGTGGAACGACCCACGGCTGAAGTATAACGTGTCCAACCGCTGCCTCCACGGGGAGGAGTGGCACAAGGTGAGCGGCCGGGCGCCCAACCCACGGTCCCGGACTGCCGGTTCCATCACGTCCCTCGACCGGTGGGGAGGGCAGCGGAACGGCGCCCGAGATGCGAAGACACGTGACGTGCTTTTTAACAGTTGAGTCGCTGACAGTGAACGCCGCGCAACGTATAGGTTCCAAGGGAATCGCCCCAGGAGCGGATGTGTTCTGGACATCCGCACGGCTCGACACTACCGTGGGCGCTGACGCGGCGTGGCGGAACCGTTGTCATGTAACGATGCCAGATGCAATACAATACGCACGGCCGGTGTGCCGTAGTTGATCATAAATGGTCGAATCTCTTGGTCGGCTCACAAACGTAATGGTGGAAGCATGCCACGGTATCCAAGGCAACAGTCAACAGAGCACGAGAACCCTTTATTCAAGTTGTTTGTCTCAGCCCTTAAATCGTCTAATCAGCCTTTAGTCTAATAACAAAAATGAGTGGCGCCACTGCAGCAGCCATCAAGACATGACAAGGAGATGCATTTTACTCATTTTCGAGTCTAACTTACGCTGTCAACGCTTTGTAACAACACTACGCTTCTTCCCTGCAGTTGTCGCGAGCACCGTCGTCATGACGAGTGCAGAATCTGTTGAGGGCCGTTGTCAGCTGTTAGGTAGTTTTTTATTCGCACGGCGGGTGGCAAGGGCCAGTTATCGAAAAGCGCATTGGCTGAAGTTTGAAATGGGGCGTCAGTACAACAAATGTGATGCTTCGTTTCCCAAAGCTAAAGTGCGCTTCGAAACATCCACTGTAGAAAACGCCTTAGGGGATAAAGCAAAGCCATATCATATGCTTCGTTAAATTCGCGGCATAATAGCTTCATGTTCTTTATCTGTTTTTTTGTAAACAGTGTTTCAAGTTTTTGTAGCATTAATTACCGCAAACATTAAAAAATGCACGTTAAAAAGGCAATGCATACTCAATGTGTTATTTTCATAGTGGTAAGCAGGAAGTCCAATTATATTTGTTCTGCCTTACTCCAAATATAAATTATGAGCTATTCAGAGGATTTTAAGAATAGTGACAATGCTGATCCAATCATACGCATCTGATGTAACAAAATGAAAAATACAAACCGGTGGCATACTCCCTTAAAGCCGTAAAACTCAGAATCCCAATCTGAGAATTGTGCATTGCAGTAACATGTTTAGTTCCACTGGATTCTATGGAAAAGGGAATTCTCTCTGCGTCGTCTTTATGTTTATGCCTGTGTTTTATGTTTTATGTTTATGCCATGTTTGTGCCTGTGAAGTGCTTTCATCCATAGTTGGTTTGTCACCTGCACTACTCTCAGAATCGAACGTCTTTTTGACAAGTTGTATACTCATGGAGTGATTGTGCTATGTTTACTTACAGATAACCTCATGCCCCCCCCCCCCCCCCACCCACCTTCCACCACATCCATCACAAATACAAATAAACGCTAACGCCGGTCACTAGTAAGCGTAACGCATAGTAGAGCATGCTACAACACCCATTCGCAGAGGCTTAACATTAAGCCGTTGAATTTAACATTAAATGGTGATGCATGAAAATAATTTCTCTCAGAAACATTCGTGTCTACTACCTGTTTTGATATTCTTATCCTGGGCTTATTATGAGGCTGTGATGAAAGCATTTAGGACGAAATAGCTGCATTACAAGCCTCGTGAACAGCCAAGAACTGCTTAAAAACATTGATATAAGGTGCACGCAAAAGGGCTGGCAAGCATCGTACCTAAATGCCTTTCATTTATGGTGTGGAAGGAGGCTCTGTTTGGAAAAGAGCTTCTGCTCCTACGCCGAGTGGCGGCTGCTTTGTCTTCCACCATCACACACACCGATGCCTCTTGCCACCTTGCCACCTTGCCCTCGAGGCCGACACAGCAGAAGACGTGTCATCGCCTTCTATGTGGCCCCGCTCTCCACTAACGTCGTCCGCTGCCTGAAGCGTTCCAGCGCCAGCACGGTCCCAACGTGGCGGCGGCTTGGCCGTTCCGCCTCGTTTGGTCGGTCCACCGGACTCAATAGCGATCGGGATGTGGTGCGAAAACGCCGCCGTTTTGGCGCTCGCTGTGCGGAGGCGAAAAACTCAAGGAACCGTAGAGCTCTCAGCAGAGGTGCATCAACATCGAATCTGAGGAGGCAAGCTGCAAAGACCTGCTACGTTTGTTAGCTGAAGCCCCGACTTGATGAAGGCATTTTTTACTGTTCTGTGATGACGATGGGCCTGTTGAGTCTTCTCGCATCCACAGGTTCCCCCCCCCCCCCCCTCTCCACCCCGTGAGGTGGAATGCCGTTTTCTCCTGATTGCCAAGCGTTTTGAATATCTGCAAATGAAGACTAAGTTAAGTCAGAGCATATACTCATCCATATAAAAATATTTCCTTAAGGTCCTGCAAAGTTTGGATTGATACCAATTATCATTCGTACCACACATAAACGACTTCGGCCTGGTTTACCTCAAAATGCATGACGGGATCGTCTTGACCAAGTTACGGGGCTTGACCCACCGTTTATTTGATCTTGATTGTCCTTATACAGATGCATATCATGCATCATTCGATACCTGTTATTTAATGTCAGAGTAGCGCTAACCTATGTGAATGGACTTAACATTTGGTATGATCTAGTTTTCAGCCTAAAATGACCGTTGTAAACATAGCGGGCGTCAGTGATGTTTACGTCATCACGTGGGTAACCGCTCAGTACATTTAGAGCCACCGTGTACGAGGAAACTTGCTTCAAATACAGTTAAGGACGCATCCTGCGTAAAGAATGGCTAAGCACCGACTTTTCATATTTTTGCCAAGAAGACCCTGCAAAATCCGGTCTTGCACAGTTCAAACTGTGTGACCCGATGAACCAAGAAATTCTAAGCATCAGGTCAAGTGACGACGGTTATTTCTAGTTAAGTAGGGCGGTGCGAGAGGCACCGCGTCCCATCGAACAGCTCGGCAGATGGCCTTTGAAACGAATGCTGGTGACCGTTGCACGGTGCCCCGTATTGGGTAGGCGGCGGGCGAGGGCGTGTGACCCGGGCGGCGCGGCGCCAGCAGGGCCGGCCGCCGCCTGGTCACGGTCTCACGTCGGCCATACATGGGGCCGACTCGGAGCGTCCGGGGTGGGGCCGCCGGCGCCGCTCCACGCGCCCAGCGCCCCTGCGGCTGAGGCGCCCAACCATACGGCCTGCAGCAAGGCCGGGCAGGCACCATATCCGTCTCCCGTTCAAAGTGCAGTTTCGAAGTGGAGCATTGGAAGCTAGTAATGTCCCCATCAGAACGCATGCTATCTTTTTGGTCTGCCCGGCGAATCATAATTGCAAACACGTTAATCGCATAATTGCAAATCACAGGAATTGATAGCGTCGAAGGAGATGCATTTTCAGGCGTTGTTCGGTCACAGCACCTACATATGTTCATGTGCAATCATGAGGATGTCGTATTTGATCTCAAGTGATTTCGGGTCATTATGTATGACCTACTATTATGACTATGATGCCTTATTCTCGCAATACCCAAAATCACTCCTGTTTATTGCCAATTATGCACATTATGCCTGCATTTCGTATTTGGTTGGTTTTGGCTAGTGTTTTGTGGAACATTATGTCATAACTTACATTATATTGCATTTATAATATTATATATATATATATATATATATATATATATATATATATCTAAGCATATGTCATTACTTGCTTTTAGCATTGCGGACATTTCTAACGATCATGGTTGTAACCACCGGGGGGCCAAGGAGCCACTATCCCCCCATTTCCCCTAAAAGGTCTGTTGTCCCCTCCAACTTTGCCCGCAGAATGCAGGATTTTACGCTTTCCCATTTAGCATGTTATTTTCAGGGCAGGTTGTCCGTCCGATTCTAGTTGGGCCTCCAATCTTGATACGTCCTACCCGATCTTAGAGTCGTGGTTGCATCCATGGTGGCGAGTATAATTGTGTGCAACAATCAGTTACAGAGAAGAACAATGACACTTTGCAGCGATTGCCGGAGCCATAATCCGGTCCGTCAATACGTGATATACATGCTTTGCCATTGCCGTGGGTGGTGCAGTTAGCATATAAAAAACAATTCTGTGCAACGGTCCTATTTGGCCGCAGACGCGCATGTGGGTACCCACTACCTACTTGGTGAACCAGAAGGACGCCCAGATTATTGACGTCAGCACAACCAACACGTTCGTGTCCGTCTGTCCGGATGGCGGTGTCCACTTCAGCTTCAGGTACCCGGCAGACGTCTTCCCTGATGCTCGTGGCCAGTGTGTTGCCTTTGTTTGTCCAGATATTTGTGATGTCAGTCTGATACATATGCAGTTGCGATAAGCTTGTCACTGCGCTCTTCTGAGACGACTGGTCTGCCAAGCGCATACATGTCCCTGCAGGCATGTGCAGCTTTGTTTGCTAACATGCGGATGTATACGGATTTGTCTCGTTTGCTACGCGAACAGAGTAGTTCAGTGAATGTCAGTAAATTGCCTTGCGTTGCTTCCTTCAAGGCTTGCGATTTGCTCCATCTAATTTGCTGAGCGTTTTACAGAGTGAAAACAACTTTGTTCTGCGACATGTATTTGAAAAAGTTCCCGTTCGACAATCAAGTATGCCAGGTTCTGCTGGAGAGTTGTACGTATTTTTTTTCTCAACTTTAACAGATTACAACTTTAACAGATTTAACAGAACTTAAACTTATTATTCCATAACTAAGTCTTCGTCAGGACATGTTATGCCTGCTATATTTTTCCCTGGCCAGTGATGTCAGTGATATTTGATGTGTGTGATAGTGATGTCAGATTGTTGTTGCAAGTTTGTTTGTGCTGTGCACGCGCACCATTTGGTTCCGCCTATTTTGAGGTGTTATTTAGCATCTTGGAGGCATCATACATGGGCCAGTAAGGTACGAATGGATCGATGAATTTACACCTTGTTCGTGAGTAATGTTTCGCCGCCTCACCAAGTCTCCTGCGTTTTCAGGGCTGCACACCACCCAAGATCTCGTCATGACATGGGAGAGTGACACACCGATTTCAAGCAACCCCATCGCCCTGGCGGAGTACGAATTGACCTCCTACCGTGTCTCCAACTCATCCTTCCACTTCCCCAAGAGCTCCACCTTCAACGAGGTCCAATGGCGGACGGAACGAGATGGTGAGCGACAAATTTATGGTGGGGATGTAAGGCGTCGTAAACGTGTGTGCCCGCACGATCAACCCAACCAGTTGCCCAACCGATTATCTCAGCAATTCACTTCACTCCCACAGCGTGGGGTAGATAGCTCCCACAGGGTGTGGAAGTGTTTTATGTTTATGTCATGAAAATTGGCCCCATAACCCTGGTTACTATGACGCCATGCGGCATATGAGACGAATTATGCAGTTGCTGAGCGTGTACTCAACCTAATAACGCACGAGATACATTATACGTATTATACACATCACGTCCCCGACGCTTGCAGGAGAGAACACGAATTGCTCGACCCTTGCGTTTTGTCTGATCGACCCTCACGACCAAATTGCTTGCATCCCATCCCACCGTTATTCATTTCTTCTCTTTGGTATCTAAGTCATGAGCTAACCTTATCACTTGTAACAACCGTCACAAGAAGAGACCTTGCGGCAGATATGCTTGCAAGCCGAATGATAATAACTGTTAAGCGTCGCCACACTTATCCTTCCACAACGGCTTGTTTGGCCCGGCACCTTAGCTATAACGGCAACCAGACCACACCGCATTACTTACTGAGCTCTGGCACCGCAGCGGCACAACTCTCCTGATGTGATAAGGATAGGGATATGATATGATAGGATAGGATAGGATGGAATAGAATAGGATAAGAGTCTAACCCGTCCGTCTGCCGGCAGTGGCCACCTACAGTCGCCTGATCCTGAACTTCTACATGTCCAGGGAGCCCGGCTACTACCTCCTGGACTATTACATTCCCAGCGGCCTCCTCGTCATCGTCTCCTGGGTGTCGTTCTGGCTCAGTCCTGAAGCGGCACCCGCCAGGGTCACACTAGGTCAGCGCGCTGCCTCTCTTGTTCACACGCCACACACTCTGCATCCAGTGTCCTCGGAAAATGATGACGCTGCGTCCGAGCACTTTTATCGCCGTCCCGCAAGTCTCCGTCCGAGAGCATTGGTGAAGACGGAGTATAACGGGTGAAGCCAGTCGGTTGCTGACTACTAAGAATAAAGGAAGAAACGGCGCTTGCTTTGTTAGATGACGCAGCCTGCATACTGTGCACGACTATTGTAAAAGCACGATCAGATATTGCTGGGATAACTGGAAGTGATGCATTTGTGGATACACTGCGCTGTTTCATCACTACGTTACAGGCACCAGCACGATGCTAACGTTCATCACCCTGTCCAACTCCATCAAGAATTCGCTGCCGAAAGTGTCCTACACGAAGTTTGTCGACATCTGGCTGTTCATCTGTACCACTTTTATTTTCCTGTCGTTGGTGGAGTTTGCATTCGTAAACACCATTCACAGGCGCAGGTACAGTGCAGGCGCCTTCTGTCCGATTGGCGCGGCAGGCCACTGACGGCTCAGATCGGCTGCTCAAGCTGTTCTCTGCATTGTCTGTGCTTGATAACCTAAGAAGTATTAGTATTCACATGCAGTTGCATAAAATTAAACAGCATTAGCGTGCACGTTGCCACTGAGCATCGCCGCGCAGCTGTTACGCAGCTGTTACGCAGCTGTCGCAGTTACGCATGTTACGCAGCTGTCGCGCTTAACGCAGCCAGTCGACCCTGGATCTTTCATTAGGAAGACTTTAAAGATCAAACAGCGATGTACGGAACAAAAACATCCAGCATTAAGTATTTTATTTTTCCTCTCAAAACTCCGAGCTCAAACTAACCTCATGCATCAACGTCATGCATCCTCAACCTCAACGTCATGCATCCTCACAGGAAAAACGTCGCTCTAAAGAAGGTGACCACCAAGCACGTGCTGAAGTCGACCCTGAGTCCCAGCGCGTCACGAAACAACCTGAGCAAGTACGGCCCTGCGGCGCACCCCCGGCTCTCCAGCTCGTGCAGCACTCTGGACAAGCTCGGTCACACCAACATGGCCATGTCGCAGGGCTCGCTGCTCGTACCGCCGTCACCGAAGTCCCCGAACACTCCCAGCGTGTTCTTCGTCGGTGTGGAGGAGGTCAGCGGCGAGTTTGACGTCGGCTAGGTTTACAGACGTGGGGTTCGGAAAGGCGCTCGGGTACGCTCAAGGATACTAAAAACAATCTTCGGTGGTCGGTGAGGACGCTTGGTAGAGTCGGTCCACATAAGTGAGTGAGATGTTGCATCACTGAGAGAAGTGAGCAAGTAATTGTTGTCAAATATTCCTGACTGTGTGTAAGCAACATGAGACAAACGTGAGTTGGGCCTTAGCACCTACCTTTTACGTTCGCAAGACATAATTACAGCATGCAATGATAGAAGAGTCTATTTGTTTTCGATTACAGCCATGCTATGAAATTATGATACGTGACCAACATGACCATGAAATGGCTGGCATGCCGTACAAACTGACGCTTGCGTCCGGCGCAGTTGAACAACAACAAAAACATTAGACAATACACCAACCACCGTTCTTGTACGCCTCTTCAGGACATTAGCGAGTCAGGCCAGGCAGGAACGAATGAGAACAGCAACTACCTGACGGTGAGATCGTTGGACTCCTACATCGGCCCCGACAACGCCAACTCGACGGTCACCTCTGAGAGCGAGCTGGGCCAGACACTGGGGCCACAGGTAAGCCATAGTTATGAGCAAGGTAGCCGGTGTTGTACTACCCCGATCACACGTGGTCTATGCTGATCCCACCACACCCGGCGGTTTTCTTCAGTGGTATACAGTCATCGCTTGTTGGCTGGTTACAGTTGTAGGTCTCTTTAACTTGTTTTTGTGAATTCACGCCCGAAACTTCCAGCGCTAGTGCATAAGCCTGGTCCGCGTACCAAGGATCGCATCGTGGAATTTCGGCATGCATGTGATTATGATGATTGTCCTCCAAAAGAGCTGCTCACTTTTAGCTTTTTGCCTATTTTCTTCTCGCCTTCGATTTTTAAACATGAACAGTCATGTCCGTAGGTGCTGTAATGTACTTCAAACTTGAGCCGGGCACAGCTGTAACAGACAGGAGCCATTAATCACGCCGCGCACCTGTCCGGTGTGAGGCCTGCAGCGACATCACGCCCCATCCACCCTGTATCCACCCGCCGACGCGACCCAGACCCTGCGTGTCGTACGAGCGCGAGCCCACTCGACCGGCCCGCGGACGAGCGTCGCGTTTCAGGCAAGGAGCCTGGGCCAGAAGCCGATCCAACAAAGACGAGCGTCGTGTTCCAGGCACGGAGTCTGGGTCAGGAGCAGACCCATCACAGATGAGCGTGGTGTTCCAGGCACGGTGCCTGGGTTAGGAGCAGACCCATCACAGACGAGCGTCGTGTTCCAGGCGCGGAGCCTGGGTCAGGAGCCGATCCAACAAAGACGAGCGTCGGTGTTCCCGCGCCCCTTCATCGAGATGACGCCACCACAGATCGCCAAGTGGATCGACATCCGCAGCCGCTGGCTCTTCCCTCTCTGCTTTCTGGGCACTAACATCGTCTACTGGATCTTCATCGCATTCTAACTGAGATATAGCGGACGAAAAATGGCGTATGGTAGGTAGGAAAGAGGCGAGTCGTTCTGTCTGGCCAACGTGCAGAGTTGAAGAAGCAAGTTCGCACTCACGGCTAAGGGCAAATGATCATTTGCTTAAATTTCCAATCCCCTCCCACTCACGGCTTCTGCGAGAGAGGGACAATCGCTTAACATATCCACTAGTTTAAGGCGGTGGGCCAAACTTTTGCCTTATAGGTCATGGAGAGCGATATTTTAGAGCTGCTGTCTTTCATGAGATTGCCGACACGAGCGAGGTCGGCATGCCGGGCGTCAGCTGACGGTGACTCCTCTGTCTGTACTCTTGTCCTTCACGTCTGACGTACACCACTCGCTTTACGATCGCGGAATGATGAGGTGTGCCCCATATCGGTGTGGGCTGCAAGTGCCGCGGCAATCCGCCGGCGTCGGGAGGGAGTGGCGCCCATAAACCGGACGCGCGACCCGCAGCCTCGCACGATAACAGATTTATTGACAGCGCGGCGACGCCGTCGATGGCCAATTCGTCAGGCGGACAATAACTGTCGAAGTCGCCGACAGGCGGGTGGGAGTCCCGCGGCGCTATCGCCACGTGACAGGACGCCCGCGGGTCTGGCTCGACCGCACCCGCCGAGTGCTGACTCAATGTCAACGCCAGTCAGTGCCGATTGCGAGAGGTACGCTTGCGAGCAGTTGCAGCGAGCGTGGCCTTCCCATGGGTCGACTTCCGGAGAGGCTAAGTGCATGGAGGCGCTAAGTCGCCACACAGTATCGCACCGCAGCCCGGCGATGACTTGATGTTGGTGCAGAAGGAGCGTCGATGTAGATGAGTTGACCTCGTGGGGAAGGTCACGGCGCCCATGGGAGAGCATTGTTCAAATAAGATGTCGCCCCAGAGTTTATCATAGTTCTTGGGCAGGACATCTGAGCCCCTGGCGGAGCAAATCACATGTACGATGCACATCAGGTGGGTTCTATTAAGCCGCCATCCTTGCTGCAAGTGTTGTGTCGGGTTGCCAGGGTCGATATCAGCTTGTACGATGTGTTGTGATATCCTGTGCGCATTGACGCGACCGCGTAAGATTGCACGTTCCCGCATTCAGTTAAGAACAAGGCTAGTGCCAGTAGGCTGGCGCAGTTACGAGCTTGAAGGACAGACATCGCTGATTCCGAATCAATATGTTGGTATGTGCGCAGATTGGTGGGTAGGGATATGGTGGTAGCAAGGCGATCAGCAGCTGGCGCCACATTACGGTGTGTTATCCACTTATAACGTCCTCGCCCCCCTGGCCAAACGGCGACACGCGGCAGGTCAGAATAACCGGACCGTTTCTGCAAACGTGATTGATCAGTCAGCTCAGTATTGGACATCGAGCTGCGTCCGCCAGCCATAGTGGTGAGCAGATAACTGTGAGATCGCGTGCGGTTTCAGCTGCCCAGCGCCCCGTTGCATGTTGGCATCAAATACACATGCCTGACGTGGCTATCAGTCATATCTCCCTGTCCTGAACATGCGCGGATGCCACCATTCTCAGATCTCACGGCATCCAAACGTTGAAGTAGGCCACCAACAAGCACGCAGCTTTATACTTCGTCGTAGTGGTCAGAGTAGTGCCCGCCAACTTAAGCCCTCATTGCCAGGGTTTCATCGGTGATTTGCCCGACTCACAGTAGCTCAAGATGCATCGCTGCAAGGACAATTCAGTGGGCATGCGTGTGCCATATACGGTTGAAACCCAGAGAATAGAAGAATAATAAATTGAAAGTAATCACCCATAATGAGCTTATGACCGGTTTTGTCCCGACGATTGCCAAGTGACATAATTATGACGTACTTGGAAATATCGAGATGAAGCGTTTTATAATTTGGCGCTTAATGCTTTCATAGAATAATAAAAGAAGTGGGTACGTAGCCTCATGTATTGCATAGTTCCCTCAGCGACCGACAAGACAGCGCTACCGTCCTACAAGCGGCTAAAACAGTACCTGATTAGCCATTCCCGATGCAGCAGCTGTTCTGACCACGGCACTACTAAACGTGCCAACAGATCAAACCTACACGTTGGATGGGAGGCTTCCCATATCTGTTTGAGAGTTGCAGGCCAAATACAAGCTGCGAGGTTAAGAAGTGGCGGCACGAGTCTCAACGATAGTGGCAGCACAGGAGCGTCTACCAGTGAGCGCTGCCGGCCTGTAAGACAGATCACGTTCAGCCCGCACACAGTGAACACGCTCGCCAACGACAGCAGCTAGTCCGCGTCGTCAGATTTCAGGCGTGGTTACCACCGGACGGGTGACATTTCGCGGTTTGGGTGCAAGCCATTGTGAAAACAAAAGACTGGGACCGCAATGGCTTCCTGAGTGACGATAACCAAACCGACAAAGCTGACGATAACCAAACCACGATTGCAGCTGACCACGAGAATCAGCATAGAGCGAGATTGAAGGAGCAAAGCACGACGATCCACAGGGAAGGAAAGCATCACAATCCAATGAGAGCCAACTCCCAAGACGGACCATTTGTACTGCCACGCACATGCAAGGGGACAGGCGGGTCTCGCGCCCTGCATTTCGTCACGTCTGAGCCGCCAACCAACAATCCAGACCGAACGTAAGGGGCAGCAGCGAGGACGGCGACACCGCGGTCAACGCTGACACCCTGAACAGAACCGCGGACGGCAGGCCGCGCCATAAACTCGTCAGTGCCATAGTGCGGCTTCACAAGAGGGTGCGCCAGTCGGCGTCTGCCAAAAGCCGGGCCAATCACAACCGGGACTAGAAGCACAACCGGACTATGCGGTCGCTATCTAATCACACATCTAGGCAACGTATTCTGTACCAGTCTGTTTCTGATGACGTGGACATCGGACGCCGCTGACGCCAGTCCAGTAGCGACGTCGGTACGGCACGCTAGCAGGGCGGAGTCCACACAGACTAAGACGCAGTCGTCGGCACTGCCCGCCCGCCGTCCCGTCCCTAGGTAAAGACGGTCACGGGGACCTTGCAAACCATCGTTTTCGCAACGCAGAGTCAACCACCATAAAGTGGTGGTTCATTACGGCGAAAGCTACGTCAAGCCATTCCGTGAAGCGTCATATGTGCTGCTATGACGTAAGAGCAAACGAAGCCGACCACAATAAGTCCGCCTAATCCACCAACAGCCGGTACACGCCCCGGCGGCGGGAAGTGCACGATAGAATCGCGCAGATCTATCAGCCGCGGACATATCCAAGCAAAAGTTCTTCGAAAGGGACTGGTCGCACGTGTGCTCACACGCTACAGGAGGCCACATAGCTATCGACGACACAAAGACTGTGCTGTTTTCTACAATGGTGTTTTGCGGCGATGTCTATTGCAACAGCAAGTGCATAGACCTTCCGTTCGCAGAGCCCTTTAGACCGAATTACGAAGCCCTGGTTGCAACAAACGCCTGGCCGCGTTACCGCATTCCCGCGTCATACCATAGCTGCCCCGTCGCCACCTCAATTTCCCAGTTAATCCCGCAACAATCCACAATAACAAACCCGGCCTCCCGAGCCCGCCCCGCCCCAGCTACCAAGCCCGGCCTCCCGAACCCGTCCCGCCCTAGCAAACAAGCCCGGCCTCCCGAGCCCGCCCCGTCCCAGCCCAAAACAGCCCACGGACAGCACACAAAGGCGCCGATTGCATTAAGCTATTGCACTGCAGCGTGGCCGGCACGGCACGGGCCAGCTGGTCATGAGCAGCCCGTTTTCCTCTGGTGTCGCCCGGCGCGCGGGCTGAGATCAGGGCTCAGAGGGCGGCGCGGGCCCGCGCCAGCGACGCCGCCGCCTCCGCCATCTCGCGGATCGATTCGGAGGCCGCGATGGTCTGAGTGGACAGGTACTGCTCGCTGTTGTGCTGCGTCTGGTCCAGGAAGTATCTGACGGCGGAGGGCGGGGGAGTGTCGGAAACAGGGCGACGGGAACACCGAAACGGCGGGCACCTTTCCCAGAAACGCTAGAAGGGCTGGGCAGCCAAGTCGTTTATTAGGCAATGGACAAAGGCGTGGCATTCAGGGGAAACCGCGTGGCACTGAGCGAGATTTATGACCGTGAAACAGCACAGCGGACATGTGCATGCTTTGTGGACACGAATGGCCATTTACAGTCTCGTGATGATTATGATTTGGGGGCAATGGGTGCATCGACTGCACGAAGTCATCCAGCGCCTCACAGCGCACATGCAATCACATCTCGCGCACAGTCGTGACTTGCATGCAGCAGCAAACTCGATGAAAGGCAACAGCTCGAAAGGCTAAATCACACATTCACGCTCATATCAGTCACCAGACCAGCGACAACCAGCACCTGTCATGCACGGCGGTACGGAAAACTTCCAGCCAGCGTCGACTTACCTCCGACCAGCCAGGCCCCACCACAGCATCAACCGTTCCGGCAGCCAGCCACGTGTGACGCTGCCACCTCCCTCCCCTCCTGACCACCGCCGCAGCGGCACAGTCGGTGGGCTGCCTCGCCAGCTCCGGCCCGGCGCCGCCGGCTCACCTGTAGTTGACCATGATGCCGCAGGAGTTGGTGAGGCCGCGCGGCGTCAGGTCGGCCCGCCAGTTGAGCCGCCACATCACCGCCCCGTTCCGCAGGTGGAAGTTGGCTGCGGCGCGATGCGACGCCGTCAGCGACACGCGCTTGGCACGGCGACCGACCGGGAATGCGGACGACACGCCGAGCGAGTCGCGCCGCTCGAATGTGGTATATCAAGGCCAAGTGGGAAGCCCGTCATAATGTGCCGGCCAACGTCAGCACCTGGCAGTGATCAGCAAAACGACAACCGCACCGCAACGCTTTTGCTAGTGCAAACATTCTAACGCATTTCATTCGTCCATCACCACGCTACACAGCCCAGCACGCCTTCGCACCGTACTTCAACGCATCTCGCACAACCCGTCGTGCCCCGACAGCTCTACCAGGGGCTTCCCGTGAGCGCCGTCGGGGTCTCGCTCACCGACGCTGTCGAGCGCCGAGCCGCGTCGCTTCTCGCGGTACAGGTAACGCGCGCAGAGGCGCATCAACGGCGGCCGCAGTAGCTCGCATAGCTGACCGTCCTCCTCGAGCCAGCCGCACGAGCCGACCAGGCGCCGCAGCTGGCGCAGCGCGTCCGCCGGCCCGTCCGCCTCCGCCAGCTGAGCCAGCTCGGCCCACTCTTCCGGCTTCAGCAACTCGCATTGGCCTGACGGGGAGACAGGGTCAGTCGGCGGGCGTAGGAGGAGATGAGGTCAGTCGACGGACGTGGGAGGAGACAAGGTCAGTCGGCGGGCGTGGGAGGAGATGAGGTCAGTCGACGGACGTGGGAGGAGACAGGGTCAGTCGGCGAGCGTGCGGGGAGACGGGCTCAGTCAGCGGGCGTGGGAACAGACAGGGTCAGTCGACGGACGTGGGAGGAGACAAGGTCAGTCGGTGGGCGTGGGGGGGGGGGGACAGGCTCAGTCGGTGGGCGTGGGAGGACATGAGGCCAGTCGGCAGACATAGGAGGAGACAAGGTCAGTCGGCGGGCGTGGGCGGAGACAGGGTCAGTCAGCGGGCGTGGGAACACACAGGGTCAGTCGGCGGGCGTGGGAACAGACAGGGTCAGTCGGCGGGCATCGGAGGAGACAGGGTAAGCCGGCGGGCGTGGGAGGAGACAGGGTCAGTCAGCGGGTGTGGGAGGAGACAGGGTCAGTCAGCGGGTGTGGGAGGAGATGAGGTCAGTCGACGGACGTGGGAGGAGATGAGGTCAGTCGACGGACGTGGGAGGAGACAAGGTCAGTCGGCGAGCGTGGGAGGAGATGAAGTCAGTCGACGGACGTGGGAACAGACAAGGTCAGTCGGCGGGCGTGGGAGGAGATGAGGTCAGTCGACGGACGTGGGAGGAGACAAGGTCAGTCGGCGGGCGTGGGAGGAGATGAGGTCAGTCGACGGACGTGGGAGGAGACAAGGTCAGTCGGCGGGCGTGGGAGGAGATGAGGTCAGTCGACGGACGTGGGAGGAGACAGGGTCAGTCGACGGGCGTGGGAGGAGATGAGGTCAGTCGACGGACGTGGGAACAGACAAGGTCAGTCGGCGGGCGTGGGAGGAGATGAAGTCAGTCGACGGACGTGGGAGGAGACAAGGTGAGTCGGCGGGCGTGGGAGGAGATGAGGTCAGTCGACGGACGTGGGAGGAGACAGGGTCAGTCGGCGGGCGTGGGAGGAGATGAGGTCAGTCGACGGACGTGGGAGGAGACAGGGTTAGTCGGCGGGCGTGGGAGGAGATGAGGTCGGTCGACGGACGTGGGAGGAGACAAGGTCAGTCGGCGGGCGTGGGAGGAGATGAGGTCGGTCGACGGACGTGGGAGGAGACAGGGTTAGTCGGCGGGCGTAGGAGGAGATGACGTCAGTTGACGGACGTGGGGGGAGACAGGGTCAGTCGGCGGGCGTGGGAGGAGATGAGGTCAATCGACGGACGTGGGAGGAGACAGGGTCAGTCGGCGGGCGTGGGAGGAGATGAGGTCGGTCGACGGACGTGGGAGGAGACGAGGTCAGTCGATGGGCGTGGGAGGAGATGAGGTCAGTCGACGGACGTGGGAACAGACAAGGTCAGTCGGCGGGCGTGGGAGGAGATGAGGTCAGTCGACGGACGTGGGAGGAGACAAGGTCAGTCGGCGGGCGTGGGAGGAGATGAGGTCAGTCGACGGACGTGGGAGGAGACAGGGTCAGTCGGCGAGCGTGGGAGGAGACAGTGTCAGTCGACGGACGTGGGAGGAGATAGGGTTAGTCGGCGGGCGTGGGAGGAGATGAGGTCGGTCGACGGACGTGGGAGGAGACAAGGTCAGTCGGCGGTCGTGGGAGGAGATGAGGTCAGTCGACGGACGTGGGAGGAGACAGGGTCAGTCGACGGGCGTGGGAGGAGATGAGGTCAGTCGACGGACGTGGGAACAGACAAGGTCAGTCGGCGGGCGTGGGAGGAGATGAGGTCAGTCGGCGGACGTGGGAGCAGACAAGGTCAGTCGGCGGGCGTGGGAGGAGATGAGGTCAGTCGACGGACGTGGGAGGAGACAGGGTCAGTCGGCGGGCGTGGGAGGAGATGAGGTCAGTCGACGGACGTGGGAGGAGACAGGGTCAGTCGGCGGGCGTGGGAGGAGATGAGGTCAGTCGACGGACGTGGGAGGAGACAGGGTCAGTCGGCGGGAGTGGGTCAGACGCCAGCGAAGGCAGCAGGAGCACTGGATTGGTAATTCAAATCACCAAAACAGAGCATTCAGTTTCTAGGATATTTGGCCTCGAAGTCCTAAGTCTAGCGAGACTAACAGCACGACTGCATCCATCAAGCGTCGTTCAGACCTTCTGAAATGCACAATTACATGCCATTATGCATGTCAGCTATTGTCTTAACGGTCTGTAACCAATAAATATGTGCAAATATAAGCCAGGTGAATATAGTTATGCAATATTGGAGAGAGCATTTGGCCAGTTTTCCACATTTCAATGGCAGGCAAATATATACCTTACAAAGCTTGTCAGCAAACCAGCAAGACCCCTCATTCCTTCAACAATAGCACGCAATGACTTACCTATAAGCATGAGTATCCGGATCAAGTCCCTTTGGGGGGGGGGGGGGGTAGGGTAATGTTTAACAAACCCGTCGAAATATCCTTGGGCCTCAAATCCCACCACAAGTGGAATGCCAGCAGCCGACGGCCGTGCGGACGAGTGTGCCTGGACGGCAGTCTGTGGACCCACCCCGCTCGGCCTTGTTGATCTCGGTAGTGAGCCAGCTCTTGAACCCGGGGATCGGTGACAGGCTGGAGAACTGGCTCAGGTGCGGGTACTCGGCCAGCAGCTCGCGCACTACACGCTTGATCAGGTAGTTGCCCAGCTCGATGCCCTGAGGGGACGGGTGTGGGTCAGGCTGGCGTCGACCAGGACCAATTACCCGTTCAGCTCCGTTAATAACAAGACACACAAGAACAATTTACCCACCAGCATTCTGGAACGATCGAACATTAACAAAAGCGGAGCGTGTTTTTCTGTAGTGAAAAGTCGTCACTAGCGTATTGTTTGCGTAGGCGTACATTTTCATGCATCGTCGTTTTGCACGCCACCCGTCCGGGACCGGAGGGGCTTCGCGCGCAGAGCGTGTGAAAGTGAACCAGCCGGCCATGGTGGAGGCCTCCCCCCGCGAACAAACACGTCCATCAGGCCGAGAGATGACTGCAGCTCGGCTCGACGATCCGACCGATCAGCTCACGTCCCCAAAACAACGCCAGGCAAGGTGCCGCGCGGCTCGACGCTGAACCCGCGTGAAGCGATGGACTGGTGTGTCGCTGTGTGAGTGGTTGTTTCCTCGTTTTCTTTGTGTGTCAATACAGATCACGGTTTGCATTGTAATGGTTTAGCGATGAAGCGAGGCTGGATGAGGTTGGCTCGGGCGGCGAGGGGACACTCGGCCCGGTGTTGGGTCGGTGCTGTGTCCGGGGCCCTGGATGCATGCTTGGGCGCAGCGGCCCGCTCGTTGACCCGTCCCGTAGCTGTCTGGAATTGCCGGTGGAGGAGGCCATGTAGAGGCACTGCGGCTTGTCTGGGCACTCGCCTGGCCGCCGTCGCGGCCAGACGCGGCGCACGGGTTGCGCCGACATGTCTCCGGAGGTCTCCGCCGGCAATGGTGGTAGAATGTGGGTTGGGTGGACGGTTCACCTTATCTTGTTCCCTTAGTTTTTTATAGCTCGAGGTGGCTGGACCCTCACGGGTTCGACCCAGCGCGCATGCTTGGCTTCTCTCACGACCACGCCGCCTTCCCACCATTCGTTGTTGATCGCTTTGCCCTGGACCGACGGACTGCATAGTCTCGTGGGACTTTCGCACAGACCTAGGTTCGTTTTCCCGCCAACTGGGCGTTTGGTATTCCGTTCCCGTTGTCGCTGGTGTGGGTGCGTTTTTTGTTGTTGTTTTTATAAGACGCCGAATTCCTGCCGGGGCACGGCCAGCGCGCGTGCGCGACCCGCTCACAATCGCGCTGCCCTTTTGCCATCCGTTTTGATCGCCTTGCCGGGTCAATGGACGGGATGGTCTCACCGGACGTCCGCACATGCCTACACCCGCTTGCCGTTCAGTTGGTTGCTTGCATTCCGCCTCTCCCCTCGATCCGTCGCGGGACGCCGAGCTCTTACCAAGCTCCGCCCGGTGCGCCTGCTCACACTTCATGTGCATGCTGCCCCTTCCTTCGCTTTATCACTCGTCCGTCCCGACAAATCAGCTGGTTCAGTTAGGTATCCGCGCGTGGGTGACTTCGATTCCTCTTTTTGTGTTCTGCTTTGTTTCGTTTCCTTTGTCGTTGTCCTCCCCTTTATTCATGTTCTTCTCTTTTTTCCGCTCGCCTCGCTGTTAAATAGGTTAGCGCGGTCTAGCTCCGCTCAGCGCACGCGCTGGACGGATTCCCTCAGCGAGCGCGTATATTGCCCGTCTTCTACATTCCTCCCCCGTTTCGCTAGGTCTGGATCGCTCTCTGACCGAGCGATGCACGATGTTTGGTTGGCGAGGGCCCATCTCGTCTGAGAGGGATCCGATACGGGCGCCGGAAGCTCGGCGTAGGGGAGAACGGCGTCGAATTTTCCGAACCGGACATGATCCAGGATGACAGGATGCCAGCTAGAGGTCGAAGGGAGGCCGCCTGCCGGGCTGTTGAGGCATAGCGGTGAGGTACGCCGAGCCCGCTACATCTCGAGGGATCGCCCGCAGTTATGCGAGATCAGGGAAGGTTGCTCGCGGGGCGTCGTCCGGGACAGCGTTCGGAAGGAGACACATACGCCATCTGTCAGCCGACACGGGCAATCGCGGCAGAGGGCAGCACCCAGCGGTGCGCGATGGCGGCGCAGGCACCCGCGACCCTCCGGTAGATGGCGGTATCTTGCGGTGTGGATGGACGGAGCGGTCCACTGCTCGCGGCCCGCCGGCAAGTGAGCAGCCGGCGTGGCTACAAGGACGAGAAACCAGACGACCGTAGTCCTGCTTCTACGCAGATAGACGCTTGTGGGTAGCGCGGCTCAAGGCACAGCTTCGCTTTTTTCGGAGACGGCTGACTCGTTTTTGTTTCCCACTTGACCCCAGGCGTGACGGCATAAAGAGGCATTGGTCACGATGTGACCCAGAACCCGTGGAGACCGCCCGGGATGCTTGATTGTGCGTGGCGGTAGCGGAGTCTATCCGTGGTGTCTCCGCCTTGGAAGAGGACGGGATTCAGTCTGCTGTCTTCCGACGTGGTGTACGCCGGGCCTTATGAACGATTAGTGACGGGATATTATAGAGATCCCGCCACCGAAGCTCATAGGGAAGGCGACGAGGAATCAGGTCGCCGGACAGGCCGGTCAGGCCGAGTCTCCAGAGCGCACCGGCCGAGGAGACCGTAAGGCGTGGACGCAGGTCGCGCCGGGCGCTCGTCGTCTGCCGAGGGGCTCCACCGTCCCATAGTCTACCCCCAGGCCTCTGATGGGCGCGCCGTGGGGTGGTGCCTCGCAAAGCCTGTTCCGGTGGGCGGGAGGCGAGAGTGCAGAAGTGCCGGAAGCGACGCCTCCGTATTGGACGAGGCGCTGCCTAGGGCGCATGCGCGGCAGCGGGGAGCTGCAAGCGGTGGGTGTGGCCGTGGGAATGGTGGGCCGCCCATCATGGACGGAACGTGGGGAGCGTCGTCCAAACAGGGAGCCGTCACCCTGGAGGTCAGGCGGGGGAACGAGTCGCCGTCGAGCTTCGGACACCCGGTGTTGGCCCAGCAGCTACGTCGGTGCCAAGCTGACAAATTAACGTGATACACTTTAAACAGCGCTTAAACGTGTCTTTATGGCAAGATCGAAATGTGATAAATGAATTTAACTTAAAGAGGACCCACGCAGACGAGGCAATTATAATGCCAAGACGCAGGAAATAAGAAGGGGGTCCCACTCGTGTGCAAGCCAAGGGATGAATGGGATGATGTGGGCGGCAGAGGATGAGAATGCTTGGAGTGAGTGTGGTGTGGCGCCGAGTGCACGGAGTCTGCGTGGATTAGTTGAGGCCGGGAGGTCCCTGGGCCATTACCCAGAGGGCTCTTGTCAATATAATTCGCCAGTGCGTGGGACCCTTGCCAGTTGGGCGTATTCGAACGCATGCGGTTCCGTTCTCGCCCCGTTTAAATATTATCGCAAGATAAAGGGTGGAGGTGGGGTACCGTGGTTAAGGGCCGCATAGCCACGGGCGGGGAGACAGCCGTTCATGGTGCCTGACCGGACCCACCATCCCGCCAATGCCCCGGTCACCCGCTTCATCCTAGCTCTGTGGCTCACATGAGTGTGCGTTGATGTCGGGTGTACCGGAGCCACAACGTGCCGAGTCGTGCGCTAACATCATCGGGCTCGTATGCTGACCAATGGGCTCCTCATTACAAATTCGCACTTGTGGGGAGGCGCGACAGCGGCAGCCGGCGGCGCATATCCAGCGGCGGCCAGGCAGCTGCGCACGTCGCCCATCGCAGAACCCCCCCCCCCCCCCCCACACACACACACATTTGTTATTAACGACACCCTTAGCGGAGCAGTCGGTAACGTCACATGTGCCGATTCGATATAAACTCATACACGGTTATAAGCAGCTTGTCAAACACATGTGCAAAAGAAAATAACATTTACAGGCTATTTGTAGCCTCATATACCTTACAAGCAATTTTAAGTCACCGATTCGGCTAATCATGCGAATAGGGCATGGTCCATAACAGTATATGAGTATACTGAACAACATGTTGATATATCACAGTAATTACGTAAGCTGTCCAGTGCCTTAGCGAGGAACATTATTCACATAGATAAGACAGTAGTATTAGCCTCTGCTATTGTTAAGATAAGGCAGTAGAATTAACCTCTGCTCTTCTGCTATTGTTTCGATAAAGACATGCTACGGAAATATCAACCGAACTATATCTCCATTCTCCTGGTTTTTCCGAGGAATAATGCTAATACTACTGTCTCATCTATCAGACTACTATACTGGCATCGCCACACCATTTTCACACGCGACAGCGGGGCCATTGTTAGTTGCTGAACGCATAAACCTTATACTAATTCTCGAAATGAATTCGCCTCCACTACAAAACGCAACATCTGTTCTTGAAGCCACAGCCACGGGTTATCTCAATAGCATCGTAATCATAGCCTGACCTGCAGGCCCTTCTGCGTGGACGATATAGAGTAGAAGATGGCGGATGTGATCTGCGCAGGGTCCTCATCATTGAGCAGCATGTCCTCCGCTCCCCCCTGCAGGTACTCCGACACTGCGAGAGCGCGACGCCACAGAAAGCACGTCATCGCACACCAGGCGCGCCGGCGTACTCACGAGGCGCCGGACATGCACACTGACGCCATAAACCACGTCGAGCCCACAAAAAACCAATGGGTTAAAAACGCATTTCGCAACAAGCGCCACAAGCTGTCTGTTCGACGCACCGGCAAGGAACTGGCCAGGACACGTCGTCTCGTACGCATGTGCGCAGCGTCACAATTTCACTTTCTTGCGACCCGCCGTTTGCCCTAAGCATGGGTCCAAACGACAACAAATAGACAGACGCATCATTTTACTTAGTAGTTAACAGATACGAATGGAAGAAAAAGTAGAATATGTTAAAATGGCGTATTCTATGCTGTATCTTATCAAAATAACCGTTAAGCTCAGCCCTGTGTTGAATTTTAGAGTATCAATGGTTATCAGCGTGTAACAGATTGATAAATGACAAGCGACCGAAATATGTTCACTTCGTAGTTTCCCAGGGGTTTTACCTGAGCTTGAGGCTGGATAGTGGGGTTATCTAAACAAGTGCATGACGTACGTTTAGCAAGGACTACTTATTATATTTTTCAAACAAAAACGCAACATATTTCATGGCTATTACCACCCATCGTCAAAAAAGCGAAATGTCGCAGGATTTCAAAAGCAAGCACCACAAACGCCCACTAGCCCACACAAACACGCATACGGCGGGTCAACGCGCAGCTGGAGAAAGTGCAGAGGCCGAGAAATAGTAATAAAGTGCCTGAGAGCCACTCGGCGGGTGGTGTTTCAGAGCTGACTGAAAAGTCGGCGCAGGAAGTGGCGGCAGATCAGGCGGCAGCTCGTTATACTGGGCAGCCGCCCGCGACCAAGGGCACTGCTGCCCCATCTCGGCCGTGGACCGGGCGACATACAAGTCACCATCCAGTGGGGTGCTGTTCTGTTGAGTCCCTGCTGCGGTGTGGATGTCGATGGCCAGGGTCTCCGGTTCCCCTGTGCGACACACCCTGTGTAGCAGTGTGAGCGCCTGGTACCTCACCAAACACTCAACTGAAAGCCGTCCCAAATTCTGGGGCAGGCCAAATCGGTGATATATTTTTGTGTTAAAAAATAGCATGGACTGCGTAGCTCTAATTTGGAAGGGGGGATATTCTGGACATGCCATGCGTACTGGTACCGGATCGTTCATCATCAAAGATCATCGGATCTTTAAAAAATTAACCGCATCGCCCTGATCGGTGATAAGGCAGGGGGTGGGGGCAGAGTGCTTCAGATGCGATAAGCCGGCAGAATGTCGTCACGGCGTGCGATCGCAAACTAAACCAAGACGTCCTACTTTTAAGCAGGGAACGAGATGGTGATTTGCGAAGATAAACTGGGAGGTTTCACGCACCACTTGCTGACCGCCCAATGACGTGCGCTGAGTTCAAACCTCCGTGCATGTAATTGGGCGGTCACCAAGATTTGTCTTTTCAGACAAAACTTGTCTGCGCTGGCTTTAGGACCGTTAAGTCCAAACCAATCATCATGGGAAGCCAGAGCACATCATATCTATCTGAAGGTGCTCTTGAAGACAAATCTCAAGCCGCTGGCCAAAATGAGGACGTTGTTCGCGTACCAGTCCACCACCGCGTCATCTGTAAGGAAGCTAAGATCGCTCAAAGGACGCAGAAATAGGGGCTCCAGGGCGGAAGCCTGAAAGACCCCGATATGACTAGGAGGCTTCAGATATTGTTCTGGCTTCCATGCTTTCGGTTATGCCGACACTCTGGGTTCGGTTTTAAAGGTGGGCTGAAATCCAAGGAGTCTATGCCATGAGCACAAAGTTTCCTTTGGAGTGTTGGGAGTGGGCCCATCATACCAAAGCACTGACTGGGTTGAGGAGACACCGCAACCAAATATATTCGGTCACTGGCCGAAAGAAAATGGTCAAAAATGGAGGCATTCATAGATATAAGTCTTCGCGAAGTCCACGCGACATTAATTCCCAATCACCAACACCGCTGTCTCACCACACTGCATCTCTCCTGCCAGGGGCACATACCCTTCAGTAGCCACCCTCCCCCTTCGCCCGTGCTCCCCACTCACATGAGAAGCGGCGCGGTTTGCGCACGATATCCTGGATGGAGCTGGAGATGTCGGGCGTAAGAGCCGTGTGCAGCACCACCACCGGCTCCGACGGCATGGCGTTGTGCGTGAACACGAAGCAGCGCCGGTACGGGCCGACGCGCCGCTTCAGGTCGGTCCAGTTGCGCACCGGGTGCACGGCCTCGTACTCGGACACCTGTGGCCGGCGCGGCGTGTCACGGCCAGCCGCCACCGCGCGCCCCGGGCGCAGGAGAGCGGCCACGCACACCTCCCGGTCGACTCACGACGTTGGCCCCATGACTCGTGGTGCCAGATGAACAATGGGCACTCGCTCGACTTAACCCGTCCACGGCCATAACTCTCCACGCGTGCAGACGTTGCTTCAGATCAAGCCCAGCTCGAGAGCGCTGGCGGGAAAATTGACCTCAAGCTGGCCATTCACAACCGGGGTGGTGCCTCCCTTTCAACACCGACAACACACTTCACGAGTGCCCTGCTGGTTTGACCTGCACCGCACGAGCCGCCGCGGGCCGAGCCAGGGCGCACCTTCTCCAGCATACCGCAGGGCGACTGCCATGTGATACGCTCCAACTGGAGGAAGCCGACCGAGAACCAGAGCGCGATGAGCTCCTTCAGCGCCGAGCCGAGCGAACGCAGCAGGGCGGCGGCCGGGTCGGACGCGTCGGTGGCGCTGAGCACGCGCTGCGGCAGCCGGGGTGAGCGTGACCGGACGGCCACAGCAAAGCAGACACGTCACGCCCGGGTGAGGATGACGAGAAGGTCACGGCCAGGCAGACAGGTCGCGCCCGGGTGAGGATGACCAGAAGGCTACAGACTCATACTTCAAAGACAGGGCTACTAAAACAGAAAACAGATTACAAATAACTTGGAGAGTCTCGTGAGGGCGTTGACTACCATTACTTCTTCGAGCATGACGAGAATGACACGGGCTGATAGACCACAGGCAAGGCTACCGGAACAGCAAACGGATTACGAATAAGTTGGAGAGAGTCCCGTGAGGACATTATGATATGTTAAGGGACAAGCAGCGAGAAGGCACAAAGCAGAAGTGAATCATATGAAGAAACGTACAGTCATTTCTTCGATGCCAAACAATGTTTTCGTGCTCTTCGACATGTATAATTACAATGGCTTTATCGTATAATAGGCCAGGTTGCACCAAAGACCTAGGACCAGTCAGTTCTGAAAGCCTGTGACGAAACCAGGATCAGTCAGTTCGGAAAGCTTACGACGAAATCCGTGTTAGAGCATTTCATGACAAGTCATGCACACAACGACAGCAGAACGTTCCTAAGCAACGTAACGTTCAGAAGACGCTTGATGCGCGTGAGTAAAGCTATTATCCACCCACACCAGAGGCGTGAAACTGGTGGTTGACCTCACCAGCAGGTGTGCTCGCATGTCCACCAGAAACTTGACGCCACCCTCGGTGCGCCCGAGCTGCTTGAAGATCCACACGTAGTCGGGCTGAAGCAGAGCGGCCAGCGCTTCCTCCCTCTTCAACTGTTGAGCCCCCTCCTACGGCGCAGAGCGGCGCGCTGTCTACACCGGGACTGAGCTGCGCACGCCAACAGCGCATAACCTGGAGCGCCCAATCTCTGGCGTATCACCGCATTACAACCAATGCTACCAAATCTACCAGGGGACAAGCAGGACATGCTAGTGACCCGCCACAAAAGGCCTTGGCATGGCATGGTGACATGGGAAGCCCTATGGCGACGCTTGGATAACGTGCCGTCTCGCCTTTTCTTGTGAACTATCTCGCCTTTTCCTGCAATGTCCTAGGAAAACAATGTTAAGTAGCTGACATCATCGGAAAATCTATCTGTAGCAAGAGAACAGTACGACTACAGGCCAACTAATTAACACCAACACATACCTCTTACCACTGCACCTACTTCCGACAGGTGCAATACGCCATGTGGGCCCACTCCACGATACACACTAGCACTTCAGACTCCAGTGCTCTCTCCAACCTCCGCTCCACGCCTTTCCCCTTCCATACCCTCCCCCACACCTGCGTCGACCAGTGCAAGTCTCACCTGCATGCCGGACAGTTCGCTGGCGGCAGACGCCACCTTGGCGTGGTCGACGCCGTGCTCATCGGCCAGGATACGGAAGAAGTGCTGATGGTCTGCCGGCGCCGCCTCGCTGTATGCCACCACCACGTGCCGCGTCAGCACCTGGGGACGACCCCAGCCGGCTCAGACGGGGCGAGAGCGACGCGGCAGGGAGGGGAAAGGGACGAAATGGCGCGTACTAGGCTGGACACCAATGCAGGAAACCCCTTTCAGGGTTTATCCAGTCAGGAGATTAATAGCAATGGCGGTTCTACAGGTGTTTGGACGATAAAAAGCTCTCGGGCCTCACCATGATGTGTTACTTGTGGTTATGAGTGCCACACGTCAGTGTCACAATGTTGGGCCACTTGGGTGGCAAGAACGTCGATGTTTTGTCATGCTAACGCGCCAGCTTAAGTTCCCTGCCTGTCACTCCTCTTGCTCAAGATCGGCCAGTCGGCATCGGACCGAGCGGCGGTCAACCCGAATTTAGGCGCATTGGGCTTGGCACATCGGTCGGGCAGGTCAGATGTCAGGGCTCCGGGTCAAGGGCCCACGGATTAGCAGCCTATGAATTGTGGGAATATTCACAGGACACCAAGAATGTTCTATTCTGCGTGACGGCACGTAGAATCTTTGCCAGGCATGCTCACAACGCGACTCATTTTTGGTTGCACCTTCGTAGCTGTCGTGACAATATCTACACATGCCAATTCCCAAGAATTTCAGTTGCAGGTACTTCGAGTGTCCCTAAGAATGGAAACTACAAATCATGTTCATTGTAGCATACAACACAACTTTTCCATCACTTGTGGTCCTTCCTGGACACGCAAAGTTACGTCTTTATAGTTCAATATGTTGCACCCCTTCTGTCCCACTCCGATCGAGGTGCAGAAAAAGATTTTGCGCGTCCGGCGAAGATGATATGTGACGCCACGAAAATATTTCCCGTCCGAGTCACGGCGAACGCAGGCTGTGCGTGCGCCGTCCACCCGAGCCCGAATACGGAAGCACCAATTTATATTTACCTCCCGCACACCCCGCTGGATGAATTTTGGAATATGGCCACATCTGCATGAAGGGTGAATGTGCAGGAGATACTGAATGTGCCAGGGAACGAAAATATGCTTGACGTTCAGAGATATGTTAATTTGAGCTGGGGCCGCCTAACAGCTGTCCTTGAGATAGCTGACAAATTACGCTACGAGCACCCAAGAATTAAGACAAATACTCCATGAGTCACCCTAGAATTGTCAAAACAAACAATTGGCACGGACACATTTAAAGTATACCACTCTGCCTTCTGTGACACACCGACGCCAGTCACCACACCGCTACAGATGCCCGGTAAAGCTCGCGCTCACGCTGGCCGCCGCATACCTCGACTGTATGCGGTGCCTTAGCCTCGTTCCTAGCCTCCACCAGGTCGCGCAAGGCCTTGCGCAGGTACATCACCATGGCCGACTGCGGGGGCGCGGCCGCCTCAGACCGCTGTGGCGTCGCCTCGCGCTCCGGCTCAGCGGCGACCGGCACCTCGGCCGGCGTCAACACGATGGCCGGCGCGGCCGGTGGCTCGTCGGCGCCGGCGTTCGTAGCGATCCCGCGTCCCGACCACTGACGCATCGGCGACTCGCTGAAGAGCAGCAGGTTCTCGCTGGAGGGCGAGGCGAGGTGCTGGCAGTCGGTCGGCACGCCAGACGCCGCCGGCACAGCCATGTCAGGCGAGCGGCAGGCCGCCATGAAAAAATGGCGGCCAGGGGCGAGCCGAGGCGTCCCCAATAGCAGCTGGACAGCTCGTGAGCCAGGCACAATCATGCCAGGGAGGGCAAACTCTGAAACAAGCCAGGTTGGCTGTCTGATACTGTGATGGAAAAATGCATGCAGCAGGAGAGCTGCAGTTGGACACTTGGAGCCATATGCATTCTCGACACACTCCCTGAGTCTTGTTGTTGTTGTTGTTGATTTGGAGTTCTAGGGCTCACCAGCTACTGTGGTCATTTTGCACCCATATCTTCCTTGAGTGACCAGTGGTACTATTGTCTATATATTTGTCATGTTACCATCATGAAGGGTCAAGTCAACTGAGCCACACATGCTTGCCATTGCAAAACAGCAATGCCACTTATGAAAAATATTTATGGTATGAACTAAAATAGGCCATGCCGAGCAAAGCAAACAGCTTATTTCTGTTATCACAGCTCCCACAATAAGAATGAAACCAAAGGTATAGGTATGCAAAATAAACCACACTTTGTTGTTTCAGCAACTACTGGAACTATATCTTAAATTTAAACTGCACCCAACAAGGCTTATTGAACAAGACATGCGGGAAAACATAATGCTTTCTGATGGTTTTAGCTGATATAAGTAATAAATCCTCCTTTATTTTCATATATGTTATCTAACAGCAGAGGCTGCACCTTGTTCAAACATTATTATTCTTTGGTCATTCTTTACATGTATTCCTGTAAGTTATAATCTTGACTTATACCCTCTATCATGGGGCTAGGACCTCTAATGGCGCAAAATGACACTGACATGCCCAACCATGAGTTCTAAATGGATATCAAAACTATGAAAGTCCACAGCAAGTTACTTTCATCATGGCAACAGCCAAAGGCACAACTACAAAATGGGGACAACCATCTCCTTTAAGGACCCAGTTATTCACATGCATCTCTCTGAGGTTTTTAGGTAAGACCATGATCTCCATGTCAGCTCTCCATCCCAATTCCTGCCTCTACACAATGCAGCTATGCGTAGGGGCATGCAACAATGCTAGAAAAGCAATAAACATGCAAATATATCTATGAATATGCAATGGTTCTGAACTGTTTTCACTCCCCCTCTGCAACAGCACTTGTTGCTCAGCATCGTCGCTTTGGATGTCATCTATTTTTATCCCATTTTCTACGAAGTAATCAACACTGTCAGTGTTAGTGTTCTGCACCATTCATGACAAATAATACTTGCATCTAAAATGCTCAGTATTACTAACGGAATAACAATGTAAGATGATTACAAACCAAAGTCAAGATAAGAAATAAATGCGTACCTTCTCACCAAATAACTACCAACCCTACCAACAGATCAAAACAACCCAATTCCAGGAAGGAGCTATGTTCGGCAAGTAAGAACGATATCACACATTCACATTCGCGTGTCACATTCGATCTACTTACCGATTGTAATGAAATTTGGCTCACAGATGGAGCTAATTATACCACCGATGAATATACAACTACGAAGTACGACACCCAAAAGAAAGGAGTTATTTAATATCAAGAAGTTCAAGGTCGTCCAAGATCATTGCTTAGTGAACATTCCTGGACTCGGCAGATTTCGACCCAATTTGGCTTGTTGATAAAACAACGCATTCAAGTCAATAACTACACATTTCCCCGATGTGACATTTGAAACCACGCAGGTAAAAACCATAGAAGTTCAAGGTCACTCAAAATGGGACTATTTTGATTGCTTTAAAATTTGGTATAAGCAGTCACATCGTATCGCTCCACGTGGCCTCCTAATATTAGGTTGTGACATTCAAACGTTCGTCTTTCAGAGGCATTCAAATGTTGGAAAAGACGGCCTCGCACGCGTTAACATATATACATTGCACGTCAGTAAAATAGCAGAGAGACTCCTTCGATCACTTTGAATTTCTGCTAAAATGTGTACCATGTACGTATGCAGTTTTTCTCCAAGTGGCAGCTTGCGACATTTGAATTTACACATTCCATAGGCTCTCAAACAATAGGATATATGACATATCTCTAAAACGAGTCATACGGCATCGAAATATGCAACCAATACTAATGAATGCTGAACAATGCATCTCCTATGACGTAATTAGCCGCTTCTTCCCATATGATGCACTGTATGACGGCACGGCATGCAAAATGTGACGTATAAATCAAAAATGTCACATTCGATGTCGATCCTCACACATCCGCGTACTCCTCTGATTGCTTTGAAATTTGCAGCAAATAATCACCGTACATGTCCAGAGGTATTTAAATCTTGGAACTGACAGCTTTGCACGTGTTAACATATATACATTTCACGCCAGTCCAAATGGCAAAGAGACTCCTTCGATCACCTTGAAATTTGGCACAAATGTGTACCATGCACCTATACAGTTTTTCACCGGGTGGCAATTTGTGACATTCCCATGCACGCATTCCAGAGGCTCCCAAACAATGGGATATACGACATATCTCTAAAATGACACAAACAGCGTTGTGATATGCCACCAAGACCAAGGAATGCTGAACAATGCATCTCCTTTGAGGTAATTGGCCGTTGCCTCTCATGTGATGTGCCAGATGACGGTACGTCATGCCAAATGTGACATACAAATAAAAAATGACATTCGATGTCGGTTTTCACACGTTCGCGGACTCCTCCGATCGCTTTGAAATTCGCAACAAATAATCATCTTACGCGGTTCATATATAACATCATATTTGGTGGCTAGGTGTTGCCTAGCAGCGTTCTGAGGGTGCGCGGGAGGTGGTTTGCCAGCAGATGACTCCTGACAAAGGGGCGTCTGCGAACAAGAGCAGAAAATCCGCCCAATAAGTGTTATAAATGCACGTAATCTGGCCACAACAAGTTTTGCAGGCTGGTGGTGCAGAGATATTGGACAGGTGGCTGTGTATGAAACGTGCATTTCAATCACATTTCACATTTCAAGCGCACCAGGATCCGCTAAGCTCTGCTTGTCTTCCTGACATTACGTCGCCTATGGTTAGAATATGAGTTTGATTTCATGCATGTCGCTGGCATGCAAAATATCCCACTGATTCTACAAATGCGTCCGTCCAGGTGGCTCAGTTGGTTAGAGCGCCTGCCTTCCGACCCACCCACCCGTGGCGGGGTGGGTTCGAGTCGCTTTAGGGCGCTCGCTATTTGCCCTTGACAGGTATGGCCTGCGGCCGGTGGCAGCGGTCGCGCTAAAGGTCAGTTGACGTCAGATGGCAGGACGGACCGTGCCGAGCATTGCGGCACGTTAAGCTTTCGCCACCAAATTCTGCCGTTGACATGGAATTGCGCGATCGGATGGTAGGGGTCAGGGCTCGCACAACAAGCACTGCTTAGCGTGAGCTCTGATCCCGGAAATCCATCCATTCAAAGGGCTCGGATAAAATCTTAAAAAAGCCAAACGAACCGAACCTTAGATACAAAAGAGCATCTAGTGTCAGACACGGTGCCTGGGAGGAGAGCTCTGAAGAAAGACGCCTTGGTTTGTAAGGGCATCGGCGAAGACACTTCCCGCGATGCCACAATGCCCTGGTATCCATGGAAAAGACATGTTTTTCGGCAGGTAACGGGAGCAATGTTATGGATGTCATACACTCCGTGGTGAATGCCTCTTGAAGCCAAGCGTTTGAATGCCAGACTACAATATTTAGTGGCTAGCTGGAGCCATGTAATGATAATGTTTGTACCAAATTTCAAAGCAATCAGAGCATTCCACGAATGTGTGAAAACCGACATTCAGTGTGACATTTTTTATTTGTACGTCACATTTTGCATGTCGTACCGTCATGTGGCACATCATATGGGAAGAGGCATCTAATTACATAATAGAAAATGCATTGTTCAGCAGTCTTCGGTCTTGGTGGCATAATACGACGCTGGATGTCTCGCTTTAGAGATACGTCATATATCCTATTGTTTGAGAGATTCTGGAATACGTAAATTCAAACGTCACAAATTACCACTTGGTGAAAAACTGTATACGAACATGGTACACATTCTTTGCAGAATTTGAAGGTGATCACAGGAGTCTGTCGTGCATTTAGTTGACATACAATATGTATATGTTAACACGTACGAAGCTGTCATTTTCAAGGTTTGAATGCCTCTGGAAGGCGAACGCTTGAAGGTCATACTATACTATTTGGTTGCTAGGTGAAAACATGCAAAGTGATTATTTATGGCGAATTTCAAAGCAATCAGAGAAGTCCATGAGTGTGTAAAAACTGACATCGAATTTGACATTTTTGTTTTGTACGTCACATTTTGCATGCCATACCGTAATATGGCACTTGACATGAAAGGCAGCGGCTAATTACATCATAGGAAATGCATTGTTCAGCATTCCTTGGTCTTGATGGCATATTGCGACGTTGGATGTCTCGTTTTAGAGCTGTGTCATATACCCTATTGTTTGAGAGCTTCTCGAATGCCCAAATTTAAACATCACAAATTGCCACTGAGGAAAAAACTGTATACGTACATGGTGCATATCTTTGCCGAATTTCCAGGTGATCGAAGGAGTCTCTTATCCATTTAACTGCCACCAAATATGTATATGTTAATACGTGCAAAGCTGCCATTTCTAATATTTGAATGTCTCTGGAAGAGGAACGTTTGGATGTCATATTATAATGTTTGGTGGCTAGGTGGAACCTTGCAAGGTGATTATTTGTGGCAACTTTCAAAGCAATCAGAGGAGTCCGCGAATGTGTGAAAACCGACATTAAATGTGACATTTTTTCTTGTACGTTACATTTCGCATGGCGTACCGTCATATGACACATCCTGTGAGAGGCAACGGCTAATTACATCATATGAGACGCATTGTTCAGCATTCCTTGGTCTTGCTGGTATATTATGACGCTGGATGTCTCGTCTTAGAGATATGTCATATATCCTGCTGTTTGAGAGCCTCTCAAATGTGTAAATTTAAATGTCACAAATTGCCACTTGGTGAAAAACTGTATACGTACATGGTGCACATCTTTGCCTAATTTCAAGGTGATCGAAATAGCTTCTTGTGCAGTTAGTTGACATATAATGTGTATATGTTAACACGTGCTTCCTGTTCTTAAAAAGGGGGCGGGCGGGCTCAAGCCCCTTAAGTTGGGCTTCAGTCCATGAACTTTGAAAAGAGAATGATTAAGTCGGGGAGAGAGTCGCTCTTTGCTGTATTTTGCGGCACTTTTCCTCATTTCTACGGCTTAGCCCCTAACTTGCTCTGTGAAACTACACCACGTGAAATCAAACAAGAGAAACACTGAGGCAAGACGTCTGTAGAAACAAACATCTTCCAAATAAAATGCGCTGGTGAGAGTGAATTAACCGAGTTAGAAATAATCATTTTGACCTGACAACTCACAATTCATTACTTGAATGATAAATTGTTTCAAATATACACAAGCATGTACAAAGGCAGCTAATCTTTGTTATTTTGTTCGCCCCTTGCGTCTGAATTATAGACATTGACATCGTAAGTCGGCTGGACTGAAAATGGCATAAGATAAACCTGAAGATGACCCATGGTTAATTGATGCTGAACAGCAGGGCTCCGTTCTCCATAGGAAAATGGTTGCCAGGCGCTCCGCCACTTTGGATGCGTATTGAATTTTCCAGAACTCATAAAGACCAGTGGTCAACAAATCCATAATCGCCGCGTCCACCGTTCACAGCACCCAGAAACCGTCCAATATCCCTGGACAGAGGAGAATCATAAAGTCCAGGCTCGCAGCGTCCAGTGTTCGTAAAGTCCAGTGTTCATAAAGTCAAGTGTGCGTGAGACGGCGAGTGACGCCACGCGGTACAGTGCTGCCCAATTAAGCCCTGTGCATGGATATGGACAACGTTTTGTTTGAGCATACAAACTTCATCGCGTCAGAACGCCCTCCGCAGCAGGCGCATTCAAGAATTCAAAACTTTGATCACTGGTTCGTGGCGTCGGAAATAGCTGGTTACTCGGTAGTAGCTGCACGGTAATGGTGGAAAGCACTTGTCGGGGTGCCTGCTGTTTGGTACTGTGGCTGTGGATATCATTTTCCGCGGTATTTGTTTTCGTTATTTACTGTCTGTGTTGGGGATGTTTCGCAACTCATTTTTTGAAGGAACTGATGACTGATGTGTAAGGCTGACTGCTTTGGTATCTGCTCCAGGTAGGCGCGGATATAAATCTCCAGCTTCTGGCATGCTAAGCTATATTGTTAGTGATTTAATTTGGCTGTTTCAATCCCTCCCCCCAATTGCAAATTCTTTCACACGCTCCTGCAAGCGCATGCTTGCAAGCATCTAGTAGACCAAAGGCGTTTAACCAAAATAGGGCATATTAATCACAGGAGCATATAGGCATAAAGCCATCCAAATTTCCTACATCGCTAGACCATGTTCGGTAAGAATACATGGCGGCTATAGTCCCCAGGGGAGGTAGCAGTCGTCGATAACAACAACGGCCACTAAAGATGTGTCAACATCATAAATAGCAATCTTGACAGGGACACGCCGACGTCGTGGATATCAACGACAGCGGAGGGTAGAAGAACCGGAGTCGGAGTCAAAGGGAACAAGGGGAGAGGAGCCAACTACGTCGTGAATATCAACGAGAGCTGAGGGTAGAAGGACCGGAGTGGCAGTCAAAGGGAGCGGAGGGAAAGCAACCAGCTACGTCGTAAATAC